GCCCATGCCATGAGCCTGTGAGTCATCCCTGACTCTTCATTTCTCTCTTCCTCTGCATCCATCACTGTCAACATTTACTAATTTTATTTCCAAAACACTTCAGATCATCTCTCTCTTGCCATCTCTGCCTCTGCCAAATTCTAGGACAATAAGATCTTTCACTTGGCCTATTCCCACACCCTCCCAATCAGCACTCTAGGGCCTGGTTTTTCCTGGTCTCCCTGGAACCACAGGTGCTACCAGGAGTTTTTAAAACTGTAAATCTGACCATACCATTCCATCTTAATCAATCTCTTTCCAATTTTCTGTCATATATACCCATGGACATTTGAGCACACATGTGCACACATGCACACATACACACATACAAGTTCTTTCAGTAATCCTTAAGAAAAACTCCGAAATCTTTTGCAGAAATTGTATTTTGAGCCCTGAGAACAAAAATCTACTCACATCCAGGAAGTTATAATGAGGACCTGACATTTGCAGTGCCCCTGTAGGAACAAATAGGCATTTGGGGGTGAAAATGGCTAGGGGAATTCCCATCAGAAGAGCACATCTATAAAGACACCGAGGTGATCAGGGACTCATCTTCTGTGACCAGAGCATTATTTATAGTAGTAAAAATAATAAAAATAAGGCACAGCTAGTTTCTCTCAACACTGGTGCTTTGCATAGTCTCTTAGTTTAGATTCCCTTGAAGTAGAACCTGAGTGGGGGGATTCCTGTAAAGGTGACAGTGCAGAACTCTCTGGAGAGGGGCCAGTGCGGGGCAGGTCTGAGTGGGAGGAGCACAACCAGGATGTGCTCTCAGCTGGCGCTTCTGGGGAGCTGTGGAGTTGGTCACCCTTTGAGAAATGAGGTTGACTTTCAGAACATTACCCACACTTCCTTCAGGCTTATCATTCCCGTTTGGTAGAGGCCAACTTTCCAGAGAAGGGGCACCACTGAGTGGTTAACAGTCAACACGGACGTGGATGTGGGTGCACTGGCTGTCAAAGAGGACCTAGGAAGGCCCCAACAGAATCCCTAACCTACGCCTCATATCCTGTTCCCACCACCCCAAGAGACAGGCATTACCCCCTTGCTCAGTAGGAAGCAGACATTACCTGCCCATGGGCACATGACCCATGCCAGAGCAAGAAGAGCTGGAATGCAAATCCAGGTCTGCAGAGGTCCAAGCCTTTGCCCCTTTCTCTGGACCTCTTCCCAAGAAGAGTCTCATTCTTGCTCCATCATTGAAGCAGGAACTACCTATCCCTATACCTCTTGGACAGGGCCTGCTTTCAGCAGCGGAAGAGCTGGTCTTTGCACTGGCCACCCCAAGGTGGCCAATGGGGCTGCAGCCCTGCTTGAGAACTGTATTTCACTCTCAGGCCACCCAGGCAAGTCTGGCACAAAAGAAATGAAAGGTCTGCAGAAGGAGAACTGATTAATTTGCAAGAGCCAAGGCAGTTATGCAGGAATTTTGTGAAGACTTGCAAAAACCAAATAATGGAGGACGAGTTTGTGAAAGTAACCTCAAACTTCTAAAAGCTGGTTTGAAAAATTTTAAAAAGGGATGCAGTTGACTGACACACATGCTCAATCTAGGTCACAGTTTCTAAATACAGATGGTGTTTCGGGAGAAGTGTTACGCGAAAGAGCAGGCTTGTAACATGGTAAAACTGGACATTCTGGAAGCAAATGCTTTCCAGAAATGGCTTCCTACTCATAGCTAGACCTTGGACATTATAGGTGCCCAATATACACATTTGCCAGATGGGTAAAACTGGTATTTAACTGTATTTATCAAATACATTTTATGTTTAGCTTCTGAATACACTATTGGCTATGAGCCCTTCACTTTGGTCGTATCTTTGCATGAGTCCTTAATCAACTGGGACAATATAATTCCTGTAGAGGATGAGGCAGCACACCGCGAAGCTATTCACCTGTGTGTGAGCTTACGCGCACACTCCAAGGAGAACTCCTGCCACCAAAACTAGAGGCCAGCAAAGTCCCACTGAGCTAGAAAAGCTGCAGGTTCTAGGTGAGTCTGAGATATTCTTCAGCAAAATCAGAACTAACTACATCCTGTGTTTCCCCACAAGATGGTTTGTGAAAAGCCCACAATGCTTTGCCATCCCTCCCACCAAGAGGTAGAATCTATTTCCCCCTTACTCCTTGAATTTAGAGTGGTTTGTGTCTGGCTTTGACCAATAGAAAGAACCAGAAATACAGATGTACTGGTTCTAAGTCTAGGCCTCAATAGGTCTTGTGGCTTCTGCCCTTGCTGCCCTGGGAACACTCACCCCACCTTGTGAACAGCTTCGTGTTGCCCTGCTGGAGACAGACAGCTCATAGGTCAACCAGTTCATGGCTGCCCTGGAACTTATTGCCACCACTCAAGTGATTCTAGGCAAGCCCAGAAGAACCACTGAGTTCTTCTGGTGCCAAACCACCAAGCAATGCCGGTTGCTAAGTCACTATGCTTGGAGGTGTTTTTCATGCAGTAAAACAGATACACTCTAAGAAGCCAGGATTGCTTCTGCAGCATTTGTTCACATTAAGGTTGTCTCAGGCTGCTGGGTGCATTTAGCTAATCTCAAGAGAATCCTGATGTCTTTCTCAGACAGTGTAAGCTAGGGAAACCCTTTGAAGGAACTCTCTGGAAGTCCAACACCTTGCTCCACTGATAGCGAAAGTAGGGCTCAGAAAAAGAAGGGGCCACATCCACTCATACAAATATTTCCCAGAGCCTTCTGTGTGCTAGGGTGCACGACAGTGAGTAAGACAGAGCAGGCTGTCCCCCTATGGGACCAGTGTAGTGTGGAACCCAGACATTACTCAAGTCACCACACAGACAGTAGAGGACCACAGACAGTGAAAATTGTTATGAATTAAAATGACCCTGTGAGAATCACAGGGAGGGACCTATCTGAATGTGGAGGTCACAAAGAGTCCTCCAAGGAGGTGGCATTTTAGGCTGAAACAAGTGGGCAGCAGCCCTAGGATGGGACAGCAAGGTAAGCATGGCTGGGTCACCTGGGACAAGTCAGTCAGTCTCCTCGAACCTCAGTTGCCTCATCTCCAGCAGGGACGTGGTGGTAAGGTCTACTCATCTGCTGTAGAGATCAGCTAAAACACCAAATAGGGCTTTGAAAGCCATGAAGACAGGGGCAGAGAGCCGAGGGGGCTGCTGTTAAGGGGCTGGGGAGGGAGAGGACAGTTATTTGCTCCAAGTGTCTTCTCAAGCACTGTGTTCCCCTGCCCAAGTCTAGAGCAGATACAGCCCTAAGTCCCTCTTTCCCATCTCAGTAGAAGGACTGTGCCAACATTTTCCACCAGGTTGGAGCCTGTTATGGTTAACACCTCGATGTCTCCCTAGAGCCCCATGTACTCATAGGTAGGGACTTGGGGAGGTGACTGGATTATGGGGGCTAACAGCTGACTTGCTGTTAGGAGGTGGGGTCTGGTGGAAGAGGCAGGTCACAGGGGGTGTAGCCCAGCAGGGTTTGCCTGCCCCTCTGTGCTTTCTGCTTCCTGTGGGCCGTGCCACCCTGCCTTAGAGCCCACCAACTAGGGGCTGAAACATGAACCAAAATAAGTCTCTCCTCCTTTAAGTTGTGGGTGTCAGCTATTTTGCCCCAGTGATGAAGAAAGCGCTAAGACAGAGCCAGAACCGATTTTACCACAGTAAGGTTCTGAAAGTAAGGGCTCAGTGCAGCACCCAGTGCTGCTGCATTAGACCAGACTAAGACGAGATGTTCAGAGGTGGGCTTTGGTCCTTTGAGATGAATTTATTTCCAAGCTGATTTAGACAATTAAATGACATCAGTGGATGCTTTCAGAACCTGAGGCCTTGTCCAATAGTCTTGCAGGCTGGCGTATATTAACGCAGTGAAAAGACAGCTTTGTGGCAGCAGCATGAACTGCCATGGGGATGGGCCAGAGAAGGGACATGGTGTCGTGGCCGGGCACAAGCATCCTTGACACGGCAGGGAAATGGGCGGAGTGCTTTGGAGCTGTCGCTGTGGGGACACAGCGTGTTCCCCACCAGCACTACACTCTAAGAATCACATCTCGTCTATGGCCCTGTTGGACCTGTCACAGAATGTAAGATACAAACACATCTGTGAATGAGTAGGTTTCTGTTTCCTCATCTGGAAAAAATGGCCCATCTTACTGGCCAAGGGGCCACCCAACTTGGGTTGCCACAGCAACAGACTGCAGAGGTTGGCTTGGACCAGGCTTGCCCTCCAGCTCCCAGAGCTTCTCTATGAACCTCTTCAGCCCACGTCCAGTACCCTGAGCTGGGGCAGCCTCATGGGCTCCAGTGCCTCAGGAAACCACCCTCGGTTTATGCCACAGCCCACTGTGAGGACACTCCTCAGCATTCTGGGTGAGGATGCTCCCTGATAAAAGAAGGTTCATGTTCTGCTCTCAGTGAAAAATTTTATTCCAGCTGACATCTGTGAGCCTACAGATGGAGTTGAGCCAGCCTTGCCCAGGGAGTGCTGGGCCCCCTTCACACAAGGAACAACCTCACAGGAAGCCTCTGCTCTCCTCCTTTTGGGCCCTGTCTACAAGCCTTCCCAATGGCCTCAGACAGCTACCTCTAGGTGGGTGGGAGACGCTGCATGGGTGTGTGTGATTGACCAGAGAATATGTCCCCAAGGGTCCTGCGCCACAGGCAGGAAACAGCAGGGAGCACAGGACATAGCCACTCACATGTCCTGAAATTTGCCCTGAGCAAGGGGAATGTGAGAAACGCAGTCTGAGTCTCATCAGATCCTCAGTGATGTGCATGTGGAGCCAACGGCAGCCAAGTAGATGATTTCCAGGAAACACAGTAGTCCCAGTTTCACGGTCCCTTTTAAGGACTCAACTGATGAACATCCAGAAGAGGACAGATGTGGGCTGTGCCCCCCAACTCCACACCCCTCCTTCCTCTACCAGCAGCTCAGCAGCAGCCAACCCAAAGCTCAGACCCCGGCTCAGGGAGGAGAAGCACCCACCTGGCCAGTTGACAGGAGCTCTGGGTTTCCATCACTCATCCCCACGTAGGCACTGTCACCATCAAACTAGAACAGAGAGAGAGAAGCAGCTCTGATTAAAATGTTCTCAGGGAAGCACCAGGGGAAGCAGCCAGAGGTCAGGAGACTGTGTGCTGCAGGGATGGGCCTGGGGGCTTGAGGAAGCAGAACCTGGAGCCCAGGATGCTCCCTGGGTAGAAAGCACAGCCCCTATCCTGTGGTCCCTGAGGGCCCAGGTTAGCACAACTAATCCCATGCAGGATGGAGACAGGAAACCCTTTTAGCTCTCTCTACACCTTGTCCATAGATGCAGTAGGCTGCCTTTCTGGGCACTGAGCACCCCACCTTTGGAAGTATGCAGAGACCTCTCTTAGCCAAAGCAATGCCAGGCAGCCTATCAGAGCTTGGATTCTGTGTGGGCCACCTTTCTCCACAATACTTGGGCCATGTCAGCCTGCCCTAGACATGTCCCCAGTTCTTCGCCCTCTCCCTTATCCCATTCTAGAAGCCACAGGCAGTGAGGACAATGGTAGAAACCAGGAGGAGAAACTATAGTTCTGTGTTCAAGAGGTTGCCAAGCCTTGATTCAGGAAGAGTTTCCCACAACAGGGAGCAGTTACAGTGAGAGAAATGGTGCTCTCAGGCTCCGGCTCCCTCTTCACCCTGATGTGTGATGCTGAGTTAGTGTCTGAACCTCTGAGGATCCTCATGGGATCCTTCTTCACTGGATGTTGCCATCTAGAGCATTTTACTCACATGTCACTATGGACCGCAGGTCACTCAATTCCAGATGGTTCCCTCCCTTGAGCTAGAGCTAAGGGTCTGAGACACAGATCCCAGAAGCAGAGCCTGAGACAATGGTTCAACACATTTGATTTTTGAGGACATGCTCCTCAGGTATAACCTGAAGGTTGAGAGGGGAGCAGGACCTGGCAGTAGTTGAAGCTAAACAAGGAGGTGATCTCGGCTGGAGACTTACTTCAGCCTGATCCCAGGGAGCACCAGAGCATGAACTGTACTGCACAGTAACACCAGCATGGAGGAAGGGGCGGCCTTCTACGGTCCATGTAAATGAGCCAGTGGGTGTAGGCTGCCCTTAGGAGACACAGGGAGGCAAAACCTTCTGCACAAGGAGGCCTGAACTGCACCAGGACAATTATCCAGAGGCTCATACCTGCCGTGAGCCTTCTGCAGCCAGTGCTATACAGGTGGGGGCAACTTGGCATGTTGTCTTAATTGAGCAATTTATAAGAATATAGTCACATGGTAGAAAATTCCAAAGGCACAAAGGGCAACACGGTGAAAAGCATCCTTTCTGTTCCACCTCCCAACCAGCCAGCCACTGTCCCTCCCCAAAGGTAACCATGCTGATAACTTTGCTGCATTCCCTCAAAGACAGCAGCATACACCAACACGTTTTCTAGTCACTTCTTCCACCCAAATGGCAGCACACCATGCACACTGTTTTGCACCTTATATTTCTTGTAGCAACAGGCGCTGAGAAATGCTGTGCAAAACGTAGCTCTTCCTGGTACCTGGTCTTTCACAGTAAGGGTGTTACATAACACTTTTAGCAGACTGACCACACGGGCAGAGGCTCTGTTTCTAGTCCTTTGCTGGCCCAACACTGTCGTTGTGAGTATCTTCATACATTCATCACTGTGCAAGGGTATGAGCTGATCTGTAGGACTCATTTGCAGAATGTGGAGCCAATAGTATGCACATTTGTAACTCTGGTGAACATCCGCAAGCACCCCTCATGGAGACCACAACCACGCAGGAGATGTCAGTCCACAGCCTTCCTGCCAGAAGCTTTGTTCAGCAACTGGCTCAACAGAAGCTTTGTTCAGCAACTGGCTCAAATGCCTTCTTCCCCCCAGGGGGCTCTGAGAGTCCACTCCCACCTGCCCTGCCCTACGTTGTTCTTTGTTACCCCTTAACTCTCTAGCATTCTCTACCATTTACTTATTTATCGTGCTCGTTGCTTAAAGTTGGATTCCCTTACTAAACTGGAGGGTCTTGGGGGTTAGGGATGTGAGTCTGTCCATGCACTGATGCCTTCCAAGTTCCCAGAACTGTGCCTGTGAAGAGTGGATGCTCAATAAATACTTGTTGAGAGAAAGAGAGAGAGAGAGAGAGAGAGA